CAGGTATTATTATCATGCAGTTAAGCTTTATCTTCATAATGCCAACCTTCTATGCAGACCAGCACCGCTGCTACCATCATTTCAGTTAAACAGATGTGATAAAAATGACCATCAAAATGGTGAATAACTAGAACGCTAGAAGGAAATACATTGTAATTTTGAAGCAGATTTTTTAAATGCAACCTTTCCCCCCGCTATGCAACTGCTGATATAAACTACAGGGTGCCTGACTTTAAAGAAAATGGAAAGGGAACATTTCTGAGCAAAAGCTAGAGAAGAATAATAGTTTTGTGGGATTGTAGATTTAGAGCTTCAAGGGACCTCAGTGGTCATTTAGGTCAACTCTCTCATTTTTTTAGGTCAGGAAACATTCTCAGAGGGAGGTGACTTATCCAAAGTCATTCAGTAAGTGACAGGGCCATATTTAGAACCCAAGCCTCTTATAGAAGATCCAGCCCTCCTTTCCCCATAGCATACTGTCCCTTATTTCTCTAGGTCACTGAAAGGTGTGCATGTTATTCTGCCATCTGCACCCCCCTCACTCCCATGCTTTATGTTTCAGCTAAACCAGACTACTCACTGTTTCTCAGATACCCCGCATCATCTACCATCTCTAAGTCTTTGTGTAAGCACTGAGGCGATGCAGTCGATAGAGTGTTGGATTTGGAGTCAGATGCTTACTAGATAGTTGAATCACCCCAGACCATCACTTATCCTCTCTCAGCTTCAGTTTTCCCCATCTGGAAAGTGAGTACAATAATGGTATCCACTTTGCAGGGTTATTATGAGCATCAAATGAAATAACACAAGTAAAGTCCTTTGCAAACCTTAAAACATGATATAAAAGCTAGGTATTCTCATTATTCTAGGCTTAGACTCATGTAGGGACTGCTCCTTCTCCTCACTTCAGCCTCTTAGAACCCCTATGACCCTTCAAAGCTTGGCTTAAGTTCTGTTTCCTATAAAAGGCTTTGTCTCCAGTTCTCTGGACCTTTAATTACTTTATATTATTCTGCATATTATTTGTATCTGTATGTACACATTGATTTGTATTATTTTGTATATTTTTTGCATTTGTATGTGCAAGTTGATTCTCCCCCAAGAGAATGCAAGCTTATGGAGGATAGATAATATTTCATTTTTTTGCCTTTGTGTGCCCAGCACAGTTCCTGGCACCGAGTAGCTGCTTAGTAAACATTAAATTGGACTGAATTTCAACAATTGCTGAGGTGGAGGGTGAGCAAGGGAAGCCCTTCACACATTCAAAACAAGAACATCCAAACTAAGAGTGGGGACCAGTTGCCCCCTACTGTCATTATTTAAGTGTCCTAGCATTAAGAAAAGTCTCTAAAAGAGGAGGTCATATCCACTGAAGGAAAGTCTTCTGTGTGTTCATTTCTGCCCACCCTTTTCTCTTATCCCTGGGACTTGGAATCACAGAACATCGCAGCTGCAAAAGACCTCCAAGGCCAAAGATCCATTTCATTTCTCAGAGAGAACATCTTCTACAACATGCCTGAACATTATGTTATTCGAATCTCCTACATCCCAAGACAGACCATTCTAATGCTGGACAGCTCTCCCTGGTCAGAAATCGCCCTTGAAATCAAGCCCAAGGTCAGCCCTCTAGCACCGTGGGCTTCTCTATTTTCATGCAGGAGTTGGGGACACATCTGAACACCTTTTATTGTTCCTGAGAATCTTGACTATATCCGTAACCCCCCTGCCAGGAAATCTGTCTCAGTGCCTCATTCTTGTTTCTGGGAAGGTGGAAGGTGCATGAGATCATCACATTATTTGCTATACTGCAGGTGGACAGTATTTTAGAACGGGACAAGAATGGGATATGAACTGAATGGCTGATTAAGTGGAATCACAAATTCCATGGAGTCTGCCCAGCACCACGAGATAGGGCAAAGGTATCAAAAGCAAATAGAAATGGGGTCGCTAATCTGCACAGATGGAGCCCTGGAAGCTGCATATTGACAGGTTTAAAATGTAGCATTATCTTTGTTTTGATTTATTTTGTTAGATATTTCTTAATTACATTTTAATCTGGTTTAGGCAACATTCAAGAGTGTTGAGGGGTGCTTTAGACCACCCAGAATTGCATGATCCAAGTGCATATAAGGGTTCAGAGAGAGAGAGAGGTGGAATCAATAGAGTAGACTCAAAGAATGTTCCAGATGAAGCAGACATTAGGGATTAGCTCGTCCAGTACCCAGAGCCAGAACTAGCATAAGGTGCTTTGACTCTAGGGTGCTAACATCCACAGAGGATGTATTTCTCCCTGGGGTGGGGTGGTAGGTCGAGGGCAAGGTGATTCCTATCCTTTATCTCATGCCAACCCCATGGAGACCTTGGGCAGCATAGAATCAGAAGAGGAAGGTGGGGAGGAAAGGAAAGATGAGCAGAGACAGTGGTATAAACCAGACCACACCCCACCCCCATTTTTAACTCTTTGAGAGCAGGATCTGCACTTCCCTCCCTCCCTCCTCCCTCCCTTAGTTCTTCAGAGCTAGGAACAGCACCCTGAGTAGAGTGAACACTCACTATATAATTGTGGATGATTATGATAATAGTTGACATATTTCCTGTCAAACAAACAATTCATTCCCAGGCTTATATCTCCCACTCCCGCCCCTATTCCCCCACCTTGAGCTCCACCCCTTGGAGCCTGGGCTCATCATTCATATTAAGATCTTTGAGCCCATTTCATTCTTTCATCCTCGGTAATCCCTATTCACCATGGCAAGCAAGTTTCTCCTTCTTGTCTCTTTAATCTTTGTGATTCAGAACTTTCCATCTGCTTTCTAGGTGAGAACCCACAGGCTCATCCGCTTCAGCCCTGGCCCTCCCAGGTCCATGGTCCCCATCCTCCGGTGAGCTCCCTCTTTACTCTCCTCCCGGGAACACTTTTCTACAGTTGACCAATCCCCATTCATCATGGCTTTCTTCCTCTCACATTCCTTCAGTTCTCTTATGTGGCTCTCCCCATTTCAATGACTGAAGCCACTCCATCTCCTGATATCTTCTCCAAGGCTGGCTGCTCCTCCGCTCACACCTGACAGAAGGTCAGTGGCTGCCCACAGCCTCAATCAAAGCCCCTCCCTCCCACCATCACTCAGCAACAACTGCTCCTCCTTTAAAGCTAACTCCATCCTGTTCCCGTCTTTTTTACTGTCATTTATGGACCTGTAGGTCATTCTCCCCCAAAATTTAGGAGGCAGGTAGATGGGTGAGTGGATTACTCGCTGGACCTACAGTCAGGAAAACCCAAATTCAAATCCTGCCTCAGACACTGGCTAGCAGTAACTTAACATCTCTCTTTGCCTCATCTGTAAAATGAAGATAATAGCATCCTCCATCTCCCAGGGTTATTGTGAGAATGAGAGGAGATGACATTTGTAAAAGTGCTATAGAATACCTTTTATTGTCTCTTATTGTTATTATTAGCTATTCTTAATTGAGCACCTGGTATATGGTCTTCTCCATCCCAATCACCATCTCCTCTTGCATTTTCAGATGAATTTGTCCCAGAAGCAAGAATTCCTAGTTATTGGTCTTTTATCCCCCCCCTTCCCTTCCATCTTACAAATAATGGGATGACAGATTTAGAGTTGGAAGAGATCTCAGAGGTCAATTATTGCAACCTTCTTTTACAAATGAGGAAATTGATGCCCAGAGAAGGGAAGAGGTGGTAGTGGCAATATGGTAGCGTGGGTAGTTCCTTGGATTTGGAGTAAGGAAGTTTCTATTGTTGTTGTTCAGTCATTTCATTTGTGTTTGACTCTTTCATTTGGAGTTTTCTTGGCAAAGATACTGGAGTGGTTTGCCATTTCCTTTTTCAGCTCATTTTACAGATGAGGAAAGTGAGGCAAGCAGGGTGAAATGATTTGCCCAGGATCACACAGCTAGTAAATGTCTGAGGCTGGAACTGAATTCAGGAAGATGAGTTTTTCTGACTCCAGGCCTGGTGTTCTAACCACTGCATCACCTTTGTGCCCTGAGTAAGGAAGATCTGGGTTCAAATCTCAAGTCAATCACGTACTTGCTGTATAAGATTAAACAAGTCACTTAACATCTCTGTGCCTCAGTTTCTTGACGTAAAACAAGGAGATTAAACCTGATGACCTCTAAGATCCCATCCAGAATTCAATCTAGAAGGCTATGATCTTATTCGGTGATTTTTCCAAGTCATGCAGCTATTATGTGGATTTGAACCCAGGTCTTTTGCCTCTAAATTCTAAATTTTGCCTCTTTCCATTGGATCACAATATTGGAAGAAGCTGGATTTGAATTGGTCAAATTTGGATAGGAAGGGAGAAAATGTGATGATAAAAGGAGTCTCCCTTTTAATATGCAACTTTTTAGGGGGAATGACCCAGAGGTCTGTAGATGATAATAACAAGGCTCTAGAGAGAATGGAATATACTTTCAAGGAGGGGAAGTGGTTGCTGAGAGACAATGGCAGAGGGAGGGTCTCCAAGAGACTTCAATTAGAGCCCAAGATGACAAACTTAGAGCTTGGAAGGGGTCATCAAGGGTGTCCAGTTCACTCCCATCCCCCATTTCTCAAGAGAGGAAACAGGCCCTGAGAAATACAGTGCTTTCCCCAAGGCTATGCTATAGCCCATAAGGGGCAGAGTTGGCATCTGAACCCACGCCCTCTAATTCCAAATCCAGCCCCAGTCTCCTTTCCTCACCTGGTTTGGTTTGCTGACAACAGACTGCCAACAGACAGGCTCGATCTTTTTTTTCGAACACTGCCCCAACAAATGAACCGCATGCCATCCACAAAGCTTGCTGCTGAGAGGGCTGGTTTTCTCAGTCCTGAGCTCCTCTGATTCCATTATTCTTTCCCCAAACTACTAGTTGGTTATATTAATACTTGAGTAATCATGACAAGAATTTGCTCTAAGCCTTTAAAGAACCCAGATGCTAATCAGTATGCATTAAGAGATCCAGCTTAATTGGTTCCATCCAGATAAATTACTTACCTCCGTTCCTATCACAATTTCATCCCTGGGAGAGAAGAAGAGAAATTCATACAGCTTATAGTGTTGAAATAAGCTGAAATACAAAATAAATGGGGAACTGCAGTCAATTTCATTTGTCAAGTACACATCCAAGGTAATGATTATATCAGCGGTCTGTCAAGCTGACCAGGAGAAAGATGTTCAGCACTAACGGTTATGGCCCTATTCCCTCATTGTAGATAAAATTGTCCATAAAAGCTAAGACTTTAAAGGGTTTTTAAAATGACGTGGTGTTTGAAAATGTGATGTAGCATTTAAAATCATGTCACTAATTCCACCTGGAAAATTAAGAAACTAGAATAATTTAGGAATTATTAGATGCTGTCTTTTAAGTGTTATTAGCCTGGAAGGGCCCCCAAATGGCAGTACTGTTGAGTGCTGGGAACGTCCCACCCTGTAGTTTTGTTGGGGTTGCCCCACCCTGAAATCACAGGATTGGAGGACCATACTGAGTCTCTGAGTAAGAAGGGTACTAAGAGGTCATCTGGTCTAATCCGTATCTGAACAGAAATTCCCTCAATGACATCCATGGTAAGTGGCCATTCTGAGACTTGGAGTTCAAACATGGCATTCTTTTCTGAGGTAGCACCTTCTAATTTTGGAAAGCCTTCTCACTAGGAAGTTCTTCCTTACATTGGACTTGAAGTAGCCTCCTGCTCTCTTCCACTGAGCTATTTCTCCCAACTCTTGCCTCTGGGACTGAACAGAAGAAATCTAATTCCTCTTCCATGTGAAAGCCCTAGTCACCAGAGCTGGGTATGCTGTTTTCCTGATCTCCAATCTTGTTTCATTTCTCCTTCCATTCAATTCCATTCAATTCAGTTCAGGTCATTTCAATTCAAAAAACATTTATTAAGCTTCTACTATGAGGGAGGCAATGTGTCAGATGCTACAGATGCCCTCTTGTGCAATGTCATTTATTGAGAACCAATAGGCATTAAGACACCTCCTCCTCAACACATGTCCAGCTTCAGAGGAAGTGCCTGAATACTGAAAATCAGAAATTTCACCAAGAGGCTAAACTCAAACCAAAAAAAAAAATAGTCCTTACCCTCATTGAACTTATTTTCTAATGCAAAACTGATTAGGATGAAATTCATCATCAATTTCATGTCACTTTTTTTTAAAAAGATGAACTTGAATATAGCTAACTAATTTTCTTGGGGTATGTTGGACGTATTTAGCAGAAAAAAAGGAATCATTAATGAGTCTGTTTTGTCCTTTCCTTTAAACTTAAAAGCTGAGTAGCTCTGACAATATCAAAGATTGGGAGGGTCCCCCAAACAAATGATACCATTGCCAGCACAATGATGATTCTCAGTGACATCTCATTGGAGACTGGGACGCTGCTGAAATGTTGAGTTCTAATGTCCTGTTTGTGGTAATATTTGAATTTCTTTAATTCTCTTCCTGCTGGTTGGGAAAATTAATAGTCTCATAATCTCCAAAAATGCCTGAGAACAAAAAAAAATCTTAGTGGTTTCTGTTTCACTCTGGTGCTTTTTGCTATTTAAGAAAATTGATTTTAATATAACTGAGAAATTAACATTTAAAATGTAGCTACTGAGCATGTATAATAATGGCTTTTGCTGAAAGTTGTAATGGATCAAAGTTTCAATGCATTTGAAATCAATGGAGAAATCCTCAGGCAGCTGGGTTTCTCAGAGTTCCATTAGGAGCTGATCTTTCTACTAACATAACCCATTTAGTTTAATTCCATTCTATTCAATAATCCATTTATTAAGGGCCTACTACGTGCAAGGCCCTGGGGATATGAAGGCATAAAAAGATGCAGCTCATAATCGAAGGAAGGATGTAAGAAGGAGGACCAGTAAGCAAAGAATGACAATTCAAATTAGGACATCATCAACATAAAAGAGAAATCCAGAGTACTTTTAAAGAAAATGTGAAGGGATGGGGGATGTCTGGACTTGCTTGTGATGCATGAGTCTGCATTCACTATTTTATCGTGTTAGTATGTATTGGTGTGCAGCTCTTGGCTGCATCTAAATTATTTGATACAAGCAGGATTCTACCCAAGCTCCCATACTTTCACACCTTATAGAGAAAGAGCCAGAAGACTTGGTACTATAGTCAGAGGACCTGGATTTGAATCCCACCTCTGACACTTCTTGTGTGACCTTGGGAAAGTCACTTACTCTCCATGGGTCCCATTTTCCTCATCTGTAAAATAAGGTGGTTGGAACAGCTGGTCCTTGAGGACCCTTCCAGCTCTAAATCTATGATCAAGTCTTTGTGATTTCATGGGTATGATTTCAGTGCTTGTTGAGCCTTCAGAGATGGCAGCCATGAATTGTGGTAGACTGAGGTAGCATGGAGTAATGGGTTGGAGTTGGAATCAGAAAGACCTGAATTCAAATTTTGCCTCAAACACTAGTTATGTGACTATAGGCAAGTCCTTAAACTACTCTGTGCCTCAGTTTCCTGTTGGCCTCTAAGGTCCTGGTGCTCAGTTGGGAGGTCCTCATTGTAAGGTAGATGATGATAAACTAGAGGGAAGCCATGATGGTGAGCAAGGGCCTCCATCCTATGCTAAATTGTTGTTGTTGTTGTTTATCCTTCGTTTTTGATGAGGACCATCGACATCATGGGGTGATATCTTGACTCAAGAATGAATAGGATTTAAGTGAGGCAGAATTGTGTAAAGTCATCAGCCTCACTCTCTCTTCCAGAGTCATCAAAGTCCAATGGCTGGACAAAAGTCAAGATGACTAAAGATGGTCCAAGGTGCAGTGGGTGACCTTAGCATCTTGTATGTCTAAGCGTGCTATAGAGCCTGCTCCAGGCACCTTCGTGGCCATTGGAACAAATTGTTCTCATCCATCCATTCCAGCAGGGGAAGTCTTCCCATGCTTGGGGTAGACATCCCCCTAGCTCACCAATGGGGTTAAGCCCATCAGCAGAATGTTTTACTGAGATCTAGTTAAAAGACCTAGGAATGTTTAGCCTGGAGAAGAGAAGGATCAGGGGAACACAATAGCTATCTTCATGCTTTTGAAGGCTATCAGGTGAAATAGTGATTATTTCTTCTGCTTGGCCTCTGGAGGCAAGACTAGGAGCCAGAAGTAAAGGCATACTTCAGCACTGGGTAAGGAAGGTAAATTAATACTTTGGGATGTTATTTGTCGGCACATCCTCTACTGGCATGATTCATGGTCATTTATATCTTACAGTCTTAAAATACTGCCCGAGGCTCATAAAGGTTAAATGGTTTGTTCATGATCAGTCACATAACTCACTAATTAGAGGCTAGAGGCAGAATGGTCATCCTGGCCCACGCCTATTGCTCTAACTTCTACATAGCTTCCTGAAATCGGTCTTAGCAGAAAGTGAAATGGACTTCCCTGGGAGATCGTGGATTCCACCACCGGAGGAGTGAGAGCAGAGGATGGATGGTCATTTTCTGGGAGAGAGGCATAGGGCCTCTTTGTCAGGTGGTCTGGATCAGTGGTGTCAAACTCAAATAACAATGATGCCTATGGGTGCATATTGCCTTAGAAAACCACAAATTAATATCATCTATGTTGTATTGCATTTTTCTTTATTTTATTAAATATTTCCCAATCATATTTTAATCTTGTTCTGGCTGCACTTGGTCATTGGATTGTGAGTTTGACACCCCTGGATGGCCCCTGAGGCCCCTTCTATCTCAGAGAGTCTATGGAAGTACCCCTGAAACAACATGAGATATTCAAGAAGAGATGGGTTTGGGTACTAGACTTAAAAATATCCTGGAGTATTTTAGCATAAAAGGAACTTTAGAAAATGCCATCTTACCATAATCACATTTTAGAGATGTTAAGTTAGCTGAAACTTTGCATTTCCTGACTTTTGTTTGTTAGGCGGCAAATCTATGTATGCTGATGTACAAAAATAAAAAGTTGGCATTGTCCAAATTTGCTTAAAGGCATTATTTTATCTCATAGGCCCTTTTCTGAGGCCCTTTCATCAGGGTTGGAACAGCATTGGGAAAGGGAGAATACCTCATCTTTAGGTAATCGATGATCTCGTTGGCTTGTTGTACATTAAAGACATTCATATAGGGTTTTTCTATGGTATTTGGTCCAATTTCAGCCATTACTTCTCCCAGAAACTTTATGCTATCTTCCAGCGACGCATGTAGGGCTGAAATGAAATTCAAAGGAATGAAAAGTAAGTGTAATTATGATGGATGCTTTCTTGGCACTCAAGACCTACTCAGAGTGCAAAAAAAAAAAAAGGTGCTTTCAGAACTCTTTAAAATGCAGCATTTCCAAAGACAGATAGAACAAATATTGTTGCCTAAATTCCTTCCTTGAAAGCAGTCATCAACCCTAGCAACTGAGAGTTATTTACACAAATAGTTGCACAATAATGCCTGAAGCATTTAAGCACAGTTTTGACTTTTACTTAATTTTTTTCCTCATTCATCCTATTTAATAATGTTATTCAAACTTTTAAAAATTAGGATGATTTCCCAGCATAACTCACTGTGGCTGAATTCTTGGGATGGTGGTGGTTGCAGTGGACAGTATCCTGAACTTGGAGTCAGCCAGACTACAGTTTAAAATCTGCCTCAGACACTTGCCCTGAGCAAGTCATTTAAACCCTCAGCTTCAATTTCCTTATCTGTAAAAGAGGGATCCTATTAAGAGGGTTGTTGTGAGAATTAAATGAGGAAGGGAAATTTCAACCAATAAAATAATTTCTCATAATTTATACATTGCTCTATACCCATAGTCCCCCACCTCTTACCATGTAGAGGGAGGTATGTTTTATAAGATAATACTATTATAGATATAGACCAGGAAGGAACCTCAAAGGTCACTTAGTTCAACCTCCTCATTTTACAGATGAGGAAACCCATAAGAGAGACAAATTGATTTGCCAGGGTCACATGGCTGGTGTAAGAGGTGGGATTTTAACTCTCCTCCTGACTCCAAGTCCAGGGCTCTACTCACTATTACATTTCCCTTGGTAACAAGATTGGCCATTCCAATAAACCTGAATTTGGAAGCATCTCAGTACTGATTTTGTTGATATTGTATATACCAACACTTGTATAGTTCTTTAAAGTTTGCAGTTTGGGTGGAGCCAGGATAAGATAGGAACTCACCTGAACCCTCCAAAATTTACCTCCAAACAACTACAGAATGCTGCCTTAAAACCAACAAAAAGAAGGAGTGAAACAATTTTCCAGCCCAAGACAACCTAGAGGTGAGCAGAAAAAGTTTGTCATACTCATATAAAAGAAGAGGGGAGTCCAATGCAGGTGGCCTCCAAGTAAGCCAGAAGCAGGCTGCTTCCTAGAAAGACAGTGGGACCCTAAGCCTCAGGGCAGGTCAATAGTAAGGCCCTGGGGCCCTGGAACCCTGGCACAACAGGTCAGGGGCATAGCAGGCCAGTGGTACAGCAGGCTACCAACACAGCAGGTCAGCTGCAAAACTTCAGACTTCCAGAGTAGCAGGCCAGAGACTAGGTCCTGGCCTCTAGCAGAAGAAACTTGGTCATGAAATAGGCTTGAAAATGAGCAAAAAAAAACAATAAAAAAAGAATCTGACTATAGAAAGTTACTATGGTGACAGGGAAGATCAAAACACAAATTCAGAAGAGGACAACGATGTCAAAATACCTATTTGCAAAGCCTCAAAGAAAAACATGAATTGGTCACAGGCCCCAAAAGAATGCATGGAAGAGCTCAAAAAGGATTTTAAAAACAAATAAGAGAGGTAGAAGAAAAACTAGGAAAAGAAATGAGAGTGATTCAAAACAATCATGAAAAAAAGAGTCAACAGCTTGGTAAAAGAAGCACAAAAAATGGACAAAAGATGTACAAACATTCACTGAAGAAAACAACTCCTTAAAAAGTAGAACTGGTCAGATGAAAAAGGAAGCATAAAAGTTCACTGGAGAAAGTAATTCCTTAAAAATTAGAATCAGGCAAGTGGAAACTAATGACTCCATGAGACACCAAGAAACAATAAAACAATAAAATCAAAAGAATGAAAAAAATAGAAGAGAATGTGAAATATCTCAATGGAAAAACAACTGACCTAGAAAATACATCCAGGAGAGATAATTTAAAAATTATTGGGCTACCTGAAGGCCATGATAAAAAAGAGTCTGGACAAAATATTTCAAGAAATTATCAAGGAAAACTGCCTTGATAACCTAGAACCAGAGGGTAAAATAGAAATTGAAGGAACCCACTGATTACCTCCTGAAAAAGATCCTCAAGTGAAAACTCCCAGGAATATTATAGCCAAATTCCACAACTCCCAGGTCAAGAAGAAAATGCTGCAAAATGCCAGAAAGAAACCATTCAAATATGCTGCCACAGTCAGGATTACATGGGATTTAGCAGCTCCTACATTAAAGGACCAGAGGGCTAGGAATATGATATTCCGGAAGGCAAAGGAGCTAGGATTACAAATAAGAATCACCTATCCAGTGAAACTGAACATAATCCTTCAGAGGGAAAATGGATATTCAATGAAATAGAGGACTTTTAAACATTTCTGATGAAAAAATCAGAGCTGAACAGAAAATGTGATTTTCAAATATAAGAATCAAGAGAAGCATAAAAAGAGAAACAGGAGAGAGAAAACAGAAGGGATTTAATAAGGTTAAACTGTTTGCATCCCTCCATGGGAATATAATACTTGTAATTCTTAAGAATTTTATTGTTATTGAACAGGCTGACTTCAGAAAAACCTGGAAAGACTTGTATGGTGTGATGCTGAGTGAAGTGAGCAGAACCAAGAGAACGATGTACACAATAACAACCATGTTGTGCAATGATTAATATTGATAGACTTAACCCTTCCCAGCAATACAAGAATCTAAGACATCTCCAAAGGCCTCGTGATGGAAAATGCTATCCACATCCAAAGAAAGAACTGTGGAAGTTGAATTGCTATTTTTTTTCTCTTCTGTTGAGTTTTGTTTCCTCTTTCTAGTGGTTACTCCTATTGGTTCTAATTTTTACTTACAACATCACTAATGTGAAAATATGTTTAATAGGAATGTATATGTGTAGCCTATATCAGATTGTGTGCCGTCTTGGGGAGGATGGTGGGGAGGAAGGGGGAGAAAAAATTTAAACTCAAAAGCATATGGAAGTGATTGTTGACAAATCAAAATAAATTAATAAAAAATTAAAAAAAAAGAATTCTATCATTATTGGGTCAGTTAGAAGGAGTATTCATGGACATAGCGTGCAGGTCTGAGTTGACTTTTATAGGATGATAGTCAAAAAAACTCAAAAACAAAATTAAGGGATGAGAAAAAGGATTGTACTGGGAGAAGGGCAAAAGGAAAAATAGAATGTGGTAAATTATCTCATATGAAGAGGCACAAAAGACCTATTACAGTGGAGGGAAAGATGGGGATGGGTGGGCATAACTTGAAGCTTACTCTCATCATACTTGGCTCAAAGAGGAAAATAACATACACACTCAGTTGGACATAGAAATCTATCTTACCCTGAAGTAGGAGAGGAGAGGAATAAGAAAAGCGAATGGGGGACTAATAAAAGTGGTAGCAGATTGGGAAGGCTATAGTCAGAAATAAAACACTAGTGAGTAGGGACAGGGTGAAAGAACAGAGAGAGAGAAGGATAAACAGGGGAAAATAGGATGGAGGGAAATACACAGTTGGTAGTCATAACTGTGAATGTGAATGGGATAAACTCACCCATAAAACAGAAACAGATAGCAGAGTGGATTAAAAACCAGAATCCTACAATATGGTTGTTTACAAGAAACATCTGAAGCAGAAAGATATACATAGAGTAAAGGTAAGGGGCTGGAGCAGAATCGATTATGTTTCTGCTGAAGTAAGAAAAAGCAGAGGGGGCAATCAAGATCTCAGACAAAGTAAAAACAAAATAGATCTAATTAAAAGAGACAAGGAAGGAAACTACATTTTGCTGAAAGATCCTATATACAATGATGTAATAACAATATGAAACATATTTGCACCAAATAGTATAGCACACACATTTTTAAAGGAAAGTTAAATTAGTTATGGGAGGAAATAAACAGTAAAACTATACTAGTGAGGGACCTCAACTTTCCTCTCTCAGAACTAGATAGATCTAACCAAAAACAGAAAAGAAAGACTTTAATGAGGTGAAGAGAACTTTAGAAAAATTGGATATGATAGACTCTGGAGAAAATTGAATGGGGTTGAAAAGAATGTACCTTTTTCTCAGTGGTATGTGGTACCTATACAAAAATTGACCAAGTATTAAGCCACAAAATCCTCACAAACAAATGTAGAAAGGCAGAAATATTAAATGCATCCTTTTTAGATCATAATGCAATAAAAATTGCATTCAATAAAGGGTAGTGGGAAGACAGATTAAAAATTAATTGGAAATTAAATAAACTAATGCTAAAAATACGTGGGTCAAAGAACAAATCATAGACATAATCAATAATTTCATTAAAGAGAATGAAAACAATGAAACAACATATCAAAATTTATGGGATGCAGCCAAGGCAGTACCTAGGGGAAAATTTATATCTCTAAATGTTTAATTCAACAAAATAGAGAAAGAACAGATCAATGAATTGGGCATGCAACTGAAAAAAAGCTAGAAAAAGGACCAATTAAAAATCCTCAATTAAACACCAAAATGGAAATCCTGAAAAATCAAAGGAGAGATTAATAAAATTGAAAGAAAACCATTAAACCAAAAAATAAAACTAGGAGTTGTTTTTATGGAAAAAATGATAAAATTGATAAACAATTGGCTAATTTGATTTAAAAAAAGAAAACAAACTATCACCACCAAATGAAAAGGAAATTAAAGTAAATATTAGGAGCTATTTTGCCCAAGTATATGACAATAAATCTGAAAATCTCAGTAAAATGGATGATTATTTACAGAAATATAAACTGCCCAGATTAATGGAAGAGGAAATAGAATACTTAAACCATTTTAGAAAAAGAAATTGAATAAGCCATCAATGAACACCCTAAGAAAAATCCCCAGGGCCATATGGATTCATAAGTGAATTCTACCAAATATTTAAATAACAATTAATTCCAATACTAAATAAACTATTTGGAAAAATAGGTGAAGAAGGAATCTTACCAAATTTCTTACTACGACACAAATATGGTGCTGATACCTAAAC